TAGCATTCTTTAATATAATATAGAACATAAAATAATAAATTAGCCTTCTAAGAACATAGAGTCAGATTCATCATTTCCTCCCTTTGTCTGAGGGACCCCAAAAATACCACATATCATCCCTCAAGCTGGCAGCCAGTGAGGCTGGAGGGGCCTGTTGAGGATCCCAGCTCAGACTGATCTGCCCAGGCTCCTCCACCAACCAGACCAACCCCAAAGAACATCAAGGCCTCCAGCCCAGTCCCTGCTGCTGCTCTGGGATGTCAGGAACCATCTGTGGAGGCTCCAGCCCTCAGATCTCTGCATGCAGTAGGGAGGGGCTCACCACAGCCTCCAGCACCCTGCAAACTGCACATCTGGCACAGCTGCATTCCATCTCTCCTCTGCTGTTTCCTCCCCTAAAAGATTTCATTTTGTGGGCAAGGCCTTTGCTGGAACCAGGAGCTGCCCTGACAGCCTGGCCTTGTTTGAGACACAGCACCCATCTGGTGTTTCACCCTTCATCCCAGGTCCTCTTCCTCTGTGCTCCCAGGGCTGCTCCTCCTCACTCCCATATCACAGTTCACCCTGTTCCTGATAAACAACATGTTTGAAACTGCCCTTTCCTATCTTTGCTTAACCACAGGTCTCAGCTCAGCTCCACCAAAACCCAGCAGGGATTTTCTCCTTGCCTGGCCAGCAAGGAGACACAGGCAGAGAAAAGTTGCAGAGAAGCGAAACAAATGCTCAGTGGCAGATGAAGGTGCCTGTGAAAGGACAGATGGAAGAGATTAGGCCTGTTAAATTTAGAGAGGAGATCATGTGGGGGGCTGGAAGGAGCTGTACAAAATAATGCTGGCAATAAAGAGAAGCCAGGGAAGGGCTCCTGTTTGCCCTTCAGGAGGCTCAGGGAAGATGCTCAGAGTGGTGCTGAGAGGAAAAAGGAGCAGGAGCATCATGGAGTCATTTGGGTTGAAAAAGGACTTTAGGATCATTGAGTCCAGATGCAGCAGAGCTCAGCTCCATGTTCAGCTCCATCCAAGGACCCTGAGTGGGTTTGCCTCATTCTTCACCATAAAGTTCAATGGTTTGTGTTGGAAGTGACCTAAAACATCCCAGGAGTGTGAAGGGAGGGATCCAGGGGAAGGCAAATGACACAAATGACTCCAACCATGGGGCTCCACAAATACCTCAGTTTCCCTTTGAGCTCTGTCAGCTTTAAATTCACTGTCAGAAAATTGCTGGATAACTGTGGATTCTTTGCTTCTTTTCTGTCAGGGTCAGGATTAAATAACAAAATTATATTTCTTATTGAGACTCAGATGTTTGTTAGTTCTTATCTATGTCACAGTCTCACAAACCATGAGTTCTACAGCACTTCACTCTAACACACTAAAAATGGAGCCATCTCTCTCTCTCTCTACAAGGCCTTTTAAGGATAAACTATCCAATTAAGAAATGACACCTAAATTATTTTTACTTTTAACCCAATAACCACCCACTCGTGGCCTGCAATATGGACTTTTTAATCCA